AAAATTAGATAATAAAAATACAAAATATGATAGTTATATGTGTACACAGGTATAAAAAAATATATGCATTAATTGAAGAACTAGTAACATGTACTATTTTATGATGTAATAGATGGAAAAAAGTATCACACACTAAATTGTCAAATGAGATGAAGATATTTTGAAACAATTGATACATTCTCTTAACTTTATGTTACGAGATTTTCGAGATTCTGTAACATACGCTTTGAGATTTCACTATCCATTCGAAAGTTTTGAAATAATGAGAGAATTTAAAACACTCGATGAGAAAAACTTTGCTTGATGAAATTGACATTTTGATGAGCTGAGTATTCATTGATAGAAGATGTTAACTCTTCTCGCATAGGTTATGGATGACAATGAGTTTTTGGAAGAATGGCTCGATTTTCATCTGGATGTTATTGGTTTCAAAAATATATGTGTAATTAACGTAGGACAACCAATTTGGCCTAATTTAACATCAAAATTCAATATTGTGTGGATGAACAAGACTGCGCGATATCAAGAGTTTAATCTGTGCAGAAACTGTTTCGAAGAAATTCGTCCACAGGATTTGTTGATGGTAAATGATGTCGATCAATACTTAAATGTACGTGATTCAAATTATATCTACGATAATTACGATAATTACGATGGATTTTACTTTGCCGATTTTAAATTCGGTTACAAGTACGAGGACACGCCAGACATAGTGAAACATGAACTGTTAAAGACGAATGTTTATCGAGGTCCCCATCCTTGGCTTGGTGAATTTCATTCAAAAAAATTAGAAGAACTATTCAATTGTTCGGAAAGAGGCGGATGGTACTCGTGTGGCATCGCCAGTGGAAAGTCGATGGTTAAATACGGTTTGGCCACGGATTTCGGAGTTCATTATCACAAGACTCCCGCTCAAAAAACACTATGGGTTGACTTCAAAAAAATACGACTGAATCACTATTGTGTACGAACAAAACAAAACGGTCAAGAGAAGGCTAAAAAATGGAATAAAGTAGATGATATTCAGGGAATCATTGACATGAATAAATATTTCACAATGATATACGACGATACTATCATTGAATCGAAACGCATGAGGTAGTTAACTGAGATCTAAAAGTAAATGATAATTGAAATTCATGCAGTTTTCATTGATAAAGTTTTGATAAATTCGATTTAAAATGAATATCTCCGGG